GTTTAATGGTTAAATGAGTTGATCCATAAAAATAAAATAATTAATTAATTAATAGTTATTATCATCATCTATACTATTAATTGGGAAGCATTTTGTGAACTACAACATTGTGAGGGTAGTTTAAGACTAACTAAATGAATTTTTACATGGGTAATTTAGTAAATAAACAACTACTACAATTAAATAAATATATTTGATTCGGATCCTTCATTAATTTTTTGCAAAAACAAATAACGAGATTAAATGATCCAATATATTCTGAGATTTGTTTCGTCAATATTTTTGGTATGATTTTTCTACAAAAACAAAAAAGGAAACAACATTAAATATTAAATAATAACTGAATATTCAGCATCATTTCGAATATAAATCGAAATATTTTGTATTTTTCAATTTGTTAGAGATAAAACAAAAAAATTCAGTATAAATCGAATGTCATTAATTGAAAAATAGAAAAATATTTTAATAATAAAATCTAAACCAAATTATTAGCAACTAAACTAAATTAATAATAGAAATAATATGTTTTAAAATAAAATTAAATATTTGCGGGTTGGTAATTCTAAAATTATAAATATTTATCAACGATATTATCAATTTTGCAACGAGAAGTAGTTATCAACGATGTTACCAATCTATAAAAGTTTATGATATTAATAGTGTAGATTTATACTTTTAATTGGGAAGCATTGGATAAAATATAACCTTATAAAAGGTAAATAATTACAAAGAATGTCATTGATATTTTTAAATTTGAAGAAGGAAAATTAATAAACCGAAACGGGTAATTATGTATATTTAATTCGAAATTGCATATATGTAAACTAAATTATTTTCGTAAGATATTATTAGATATTTTCGAAAATGGCAATCTAATCTAATAACAAATTATCATTTCGTTTACATTTTTAAAAATTTCCTTAACAATACTATGCTAATTAATTCTGATTGGTACACATGGAAAAAAGATTTTTCAATTTTGATTTTCCAAATATGAAAAAACATTTATTATATTTGTCGTATATAATCTAAACGAAATACTTCCATCCTTTAAAATATAGCTTATTCAAAAACTAATTTTTTGGATTCTAAATTTGTAAATATCTAGAAAATATTTGAAAGATAGATTAAAATATTTAACATTTAATTAGAGTTTAAATGATATAATATCTTAGAATATATATTTTTTAAAAAATGGGTAGTTTTCATTATTTTAAATTTATATAACTAACCTAAATCTATCTGACCATTAACTCGATTCATTTTGATCTCGGTCCGACCGTTTGATTGTTACGAATTTTAAAATACTACTAAAATAATTTTTATTTCAAATATTTCAACCAACTAATATGAGTTTTGGTTATAGATACTATAACTATATAAATAATTTTTTTAACATCAATCTAACTTTTTTATTATATCATATCATATAAAAATATACTATGAATTATATTTGTGTTTGTCCCAAACAAGATATCGAGAATTTTTGTTTCCGTCACGTCCTGTTTCTAATCGGGAATACAAAATTTGTCTTATATTAGAAATGCGTTCTCTTATGAGACATAAATTGGAGAACGGGTAAGATATAATGGAACATGATAAAATTGAATGGGAATCACGCCTATCTCTAAATATTTCTATTTCTCGCAAACGTATTTAATCATTTTAACGGTTTTATATACGGTTTGATAGTTTACATTTTAATGTTCACAAGTTTAATAAAAATCTACGTGACCATTAATTCGATTCAGTTTGATCTTGGTCCGACCGTTTGATTGTTACGCATTTTCAAATACTATTAAAATCATTATTATTTCAAATATTTCAACCAACTGATATGAGTTTAGGTTATAGATACTATAACTATATAATATTTTTTTTACATCAATCTAACTTATATTATATTTCAATCTAAGATTTTTTTCTAATCTACTCTTCAGTTTCAAACTCCAAAAAATGACTTATGGTTGCTATTGTGTCATAAGCAAACATAAATAACATTTTATAATTTTCTGTGTACATTATAATTTATTCAATACAATATATATCACTAAAACAACAAAATAATCATATATTTAATAAAAATTTATTACAACACATTTCTTAAAATATGAAATCCCGCACGTATGTGCGGGTCAGGATCTAGTATAATATTAAATATAATATTTAATGACATAAATGAGTTATGATATCACGTTTTTGGCGAGAAAATCATGGAATTACGTTTTCGTGGGAAAATCCGGAATCACGTTTTTGCCGGGGGAAATATGAAATCACGTTTTTGGCGGGAACCAAATTTTCCACTTTATTAAATTCATGGAATGGATTGGTTTAGATTGATCCATATTGATACCCCTAAGTATAACCAATATTCGGATCTTTGATATGAATATGGATGTCCTTAACACCTTCCGAGGTAACCATGATATTGGAATTATGGTAGGTGTGAAGAACCAAGACTTAGAGGCTCTTTTGGCCAGCAAAGACGCTGTTAACACATGGTTCGTGACCAACATTGAGCCTTACTTATCTGATGTCAACATCACGTTCATTACTGTTGGGAATGAAATCATCCCCGGAGAAATCGGTTCTTACGTGCTACCCGTCATGCACTCTCTCACCAACGTTGTCAAGTCGAGGATTCTCCCAATCTTGATTAGTACCACGGTGGCTATGACCAACCTTGGCCAGTCGTATCCACCTTCTGCCGCAGATTTCACTCCCCAAGCCCGAGAACAACTTATCCCCGTGCTGACTTTTTTTGTCTCAAACAAGTAAACCTATCCTTGTCAATATTTACCCCTTACTTCTCTTATGCAGCTGATCCTATCAACCTTCATCTTGCCATCTTCAACACCGATACGGTTGTGGTCCAAAACTGGCCAATTGGTTATTCAAACATGTTTTATATGATATTTGATGTGTTTGTATGGGCAATAGAGAAAGAGGGCATAAAAGATTTACCGATGGTGGTAATAGAGACTGGATGGCCGTGTGCCGGTAACGGGAACTTAATAACTCCTGATGGGTTATTACAGTTTGATTGTAATAACCCATCAGGAGTTATTAAGTTCCCGTTACCGGCACACGGCCATCCAGTCTCTATTACCACCATCGGTAAATATTTGGTCCCTGTGTCGGTATTTCCTTTTTCCAGGAGTGAGAGAACTAAGAAGAAGTGAGTACTTACAGTTTGATTGGTTAACATTTTGTTTTTCCTTTTTTAAAAAGATAGAAATAAATCTATAAATATAAGTTTTTTGAAATAATATTTTATAAGATTTTCAGTTATTATCTTGTGGTTTATGTAGAGACTGTGACAAGTATGGCGAGGAGTGCGCCACATCTATCGTGGTTGGAGAGGATGATGTGTCAAAGTAACGGATCTCGGAGATGTGTTCTCTTATGTTCCAAGTTCGATGCAGATCCAGTAATTAAGGTTAGGTACATGCAGAAGGCTGAAGAAAAGGAGGAGATATATTTCTTGCACCATCTCTTTTTTTATTCATTCATATCATTTGAACAAGCCTGGTCAATTAATTTTTCTGTTTAGTTAAGAAAACACAAACATGCTTTGCTGATTTGAAACTAAACTTGATTATTGTTGAATGACTCTTACTAATACTAAGGTAATGATGACTCTTACTAATACTAAGGTAGAGGATATATACTGTACATACAAGTACTTTTAAACTTTGATATCTGTCAAGTTTTATGTCTTTTTGTTAATTATTTTGTGGCATCATATATATAGTAATCAGAATCCTAAACCCTAGAAAAAATATATAGGAAAACAAAAACCAAACGAAACCAAGGAGGCTAGTTTATGAAAAAAGTGCAAAGATTTTGTGAATTCAAAATTTTTTGAGTAATGAAAACAATATAGGGAACTGCTTTTTTGTCTTATGAGCAGAGATTTGTTTGGACACCTGAGGATATCTTGAAACAATGTCACATCGGAGAAAGAAGTCACATATGACAAAGTTTATGCAGGTAACTATCCTTGGAGCAAAACTTCTCTAGACAAGAAAACTAGATCTTTTTGATGGGTGTAAGAGAAACCTTGTGTTTGTGTAGAAATATAGAATATACCTTCTTGAATTTATTCACAATGATACAAAGATATATATACACATATGTGTAGACGGCTAAACCTAAACTTGTCGATCAAGTTATACTTGTCGATCACGTATACAACTTAAGGCCAAATAACATAAGATATAGTCCAATACTCCCCCTCAAGTTGGAGCATGGAGATTAACAATGCTCAACTTGGACACTAGATGCTCAAAATGTTGTCGATGTAAAGCCTTTGTTAATAAATCAGCGAGCTGATCAGCCTTTGGAACGTGACTGGTAGAAATGATCTTGTCTTGAACGGCATCTCGTACGGCATGACAATCCACCTCAACATGCTTAGTCCTCTCATGAAACATTAGATTTACGACGATGTGTATAGCCGCTTGATTATCACAAAATAGCTTTACCGGATCAAGCAGCGGGTGACCAAATCATGGACCAATTGTCGCAGCCACAGAATCTCATCAAGAGCATGGCACATAGACCTATATTCGGCCTCTGCAGAAGAACGTGAAACCGTTTGTTGTTTCTTAGCTTTCCAAGAAATTGGCGGGCCTCCAAGGAAAGTGATATAAGCACTCAACGAACGTTAGCGGACATGCGGCATAATCTGAGTCGCAATACGCAGTTCATTCCATAAAAGAATTGTGTGGATAAGTGAAAAAAAGTAATCATATAAAATTGTAAATCTTAACCAAGTGTCGTTAGCTCAACTGGTAAAGATCCTAGGCGAAGCTTAGAGGTCGTCGGTTCGAGTGACGCTTGGGACGAAACTAATATTACATGTTGTGGTTTCGGGCCTGGGGGATTACGGGATTTGGCTCAGAACCTCCTGGTATTCAAAAAAAAAAAAAAAAAAAAAAAAAAATTGTAAATCTTTTTTGTGTGAGGGATTTACAACCATATGTCTCTCCTATCCTTTCCCAAATTGTTTTTTATACCATCGACCACCATACATGTCTAAACTTAGAAAGGCATGATCACAAGAAGCTCCAACAAATTATCGAGTACACAATGGTTTAGAGTAAACTATACAACTCCGGGTGGAGCCGAGGCGTTACAACAACTTCCACCGGTTTAATCTTTGGCAAGTCTAAACCAGGCCCTTCGGCCATATCCAGTGGTTCACCAGACACTTTGCGTAACTCAAACCCTTGAAGCAACCGAGCCAACACGAAGTGTACAACTCTTAGACCAAGATTGATCCCTGGACACGACCTTCTTCCAGAACTGAAAGGAATGTACTCAAAGTCGCTCTTTTCACATTGTGATTTCTCCTCCATGAACCTCTCAGGCTTAAAGGCTTTGGGGTCAGGCCAGATCTTGGGATCCCTATGAAGTTTCCATATGTTGACGAGCAAGCGCGTGCCTTTCTCAACACGGTATCCTCCCACGAAACAATCTTCACGTGCTTCGCGGATTCCTGATCATTCATCATTTTGTACAACCAAATAGGTTTTATCATTTACAAGATTAATAAAGACAATTAAGAGTCTTTGATTTGTGACCTGTAAGAGGAGCCGGCGGGTAAAGTCGGTGAGTTTCCTTAACAATAGCTTGTAGGTACTTAAGGTTTTGTATGTCGGATTCTTCAACCCATCTACCTTTCCCGACACAATTGTCAATCTCTTCTTGTGCTGCTTTTAAAGCAGCTGGATTGTTGAGTAGCAGCGATACGGCCCATGTCAAAGTGTTGGATGTGCTGTCTGATCCCGTTAATGTGAGAATCTACAACAAGAAACAGAACATTTTTTTTTTGTGTGAAAGAAACAAAACATTTATATTGGTAGACTTTCATTTCAAAACCAATTGGTAAGGAGTGAATTATAAGTCATATTTCTTATATCCAACATATATCCAAATTAACGAGAGTGGTGAAACTGTGCATACCAAAATTGTTGCCTTCACAATGACATCGCGTACATGTCCACATATCACAATACCTTCTGGTAAGATGTCGAGCAGTAGATCCATGATTGTTTTTTCTTGATCCTTCTCATTTATTGATCTCTTCTTAAGATGTTCTTTGAGCCACTTGGTGATGACTGAGTCAAGCTCCTTAAATAATCTCTTCATTTGAGAATTTTTTGCAAAATCCAACCATCCTAGCCATGGAAGAACGTCGCCTATCATAGGAACCGCAGCCAAGTACACGCTATGCTTCAACGCCTCCTTATAACGCCATTCCTCGCTCTTCACTTCACCGAAACCAATCCTCTTCCCCACCATCTTCCTAAGGATTATATTGAAGGTCAAAAACTCGAATAACATGTCAATCTTCACCATCGAACTGCCACCACCCCCTTTGTATAGGTGTTTGATCAACGCGTTTACTTCTGAAGAACGAATGTGACCAAGCATCTCTATACTCTGGTTTGAGAATAGATGGACGGTGACAATCTTACGTAACTCACGCCAATAGTCTCCATAGGGAGCCAATGCCAGAATTGCATTGTTGTAGCCTACATACCGACCAAAGGCTATATTGGGTCTGGTTGCTAGAGCCAAGTCGTTGGTGGTGAAACAATCTTTCACCGTTTTTGGGTCGCTGGCTACAACCAGCCTATAAAACCCTAACTTGAGGGAGAAGATAGGACCATGTTTTTCGGACATGGCAGCTAGTTTCTTGCAAATGAGTTCTTTGCCGCGCAATAGGTGGAGGTGGCCGAATAGAGGCAAAGCTCCTAATGGCTCAGGTATGGTGGAGCTATCAACTTCACTTTTACTCAATTTTTTTCCGAGGAAAATGTAACCGGCGATTACAAGGGCCAAAGAGAAGAGAGAAAATTGGAGAGTACTAAAGAGAAAAATCATGGTGATTATTTTGTTTGGGGTATGTAATAATGTAGCTTTCTTTTACGCGTATATATATAGAAGTATGGTGTGAACTATGAGGTAATGTAGCTTTCGCTTACTATATATGTATGTATTATTATAAACATCATTAAAATGACTTTGACAAAAAAAAACATCATTAAAATGTTGCGTAAGTATCACAACCTCTCTTCGACGGGAAAGTTTTAAGCCAAGAATTGTTTTTGAGTTTATTTTATAAATATGTCACTCAAATTTCATAACAGGTAATCAATATTAGTCATACTTACGCAATAGTACTAATTATCGGTTAAAGAAAAATAAAATCAAAGGGTCGTTTATTGACTAAATTTAAATTTAGTGTTAGCTCGGTTTAAAACTTAAAAAGCTACGATGTTAAAAAAAAATTCCGACAATTCAACCACCACAAGAAAAAAGATAAATCAGCAATACTATTTACAAGTTTTATTTTTGAATTTCAACAAATTTATAACCGTAAAACTCCATTTGATAAGATCCAAAGACACCATCAATTTTGTGGGGGTTGGTTAGGGCCTAGGCGCCTAGCTAATACAAAGATGGTCCTTAAAATTGTCAGAGATATTTTGATTTGTCGTTGATGTCTCCATTGAGAAACTCTATACGTTATTTCATTCACACCATATATGACAAAGAGACATAGTAGTTAGTACGACTGATTAGTCATGTGATTATATTTGTGTGGCCATATTTAAATATCGCAATTTTCACATTGGAATTGACATTTCATACATATCAATTTCCAAGCATGTATAACGCATGGGAAAGGAAACAAAAGATCGAAAGATGTTAAAATTCGTTTTATCATGATAATGCGTATAAAATACATATGATGTTCACGTATAAAATTCATAGAAATTAGCTTTGTTACGATGTCACGTAGTAGGACAGAAGCATGTGAAACATGTGGTCTGCTGTGATCCCAACGAATGGACTGTGTGGAAGGAGTTTAAGCTTTATTTTTCGATTAGTGTCTGACATTAGTGGCTGTAGTTAAAATTATTTTGTCTCATATATAATTCCTCTATCAATGTAAATCCACATTATAGTTTATATATTTTTCTACGAACTTTACTCGGTTATATAGCACAATTTTTTTTAACCTAGCACTATATGTTTACATTTGTAACATTTTTTTTTTGTAACATCTTTGTAACATTTATATATAGGAACTGGAACGGACTATTTCTCGGTTCAATGGATTACCAGGTTGAACTAGAACTAATTTTAAATTTTAATTAATGCTAAATCATGAATTAAAAATTTACCGAAAATCAGTGAAATACTTTTTTCTATTTTCTCGGTTTTTTTTTTTGTCTTGATACTCATTTTATAACTTAAAATCCTAATCAATCCAGTTTACTTGGAAGATGGAACACCTCAGCAACACATACATGGATCCTTCAGAGAAGCTTAATTATGGCATGTTGATGGTCTCATGGAGTCCTACTTTCTCACGGGAATTACAAGAGATATCTATTTTTCAGTTTGGGTAACGTTAAGAAAAATACCCCCTACGCTTTACTCTATCGATGCTCTTAAAAAAGATAGCTTATGGAGTGAGAGAACCAATGCTCTCATACAAACCAAGGCTAGACCCAACTAAAAAAAGACAAGCTAAAATAATGGCAGAGATTGAACTGAACAAGGTCTCCTCGGAAGATTGCAGTTAAAGACCAACAAGGGAATGTCTCAATGGTGAATGTTGAGTATACTTGAATATCCTCTAAGTGTGAAGGATGCTTTGTCCAGTCCAAATATTTGAAGTCTATCTGTGCGACGGCTTATTGTTATTAGGCACTACGGACAACTTGGGGCTGGTGGTATGGAACCCGTATTTGGAGCAAGCCAGATGGATCGAACCCAAAAATACTTACCATGAATCAGATAGGTATGCTATAGGATACAATAACAAGAAGAACCACAAAGTCTTGACGTTTTTCAATGAGTTCAATATAGTGCACAACGAAATTTACGATTTAAGTCTAATTCGTGGAGGGTTCTTGATATCACTCATAACTGTTGTCATATATCGAGTTTTCAAAGAGTTGTGTCCTTGAAGGGAAATACTTACTTTGTTGCTCATAAAAAAGTAGGGATGGTAGATTTTGTAATCTGTTTTGATTTTACAACAGAGAGTTTTGGACCACTTCTACATCTTCTCTTTGATTGTGATGATGAGGATATGACTTTATCTTGTGTTAGAGAAGAGAAGCTTGCGGCAGCTACATATGAGATGGATATATGGATTACAACTAAGATTGAGCTCAATGCAGTCTCGTGAAGCAAATTCTTTAAAGTTGATCTTCAACTTTTGTGTGGTTCCAAATTTTGATTTAAATCTGCAGTTGACAGTTTCTTCATTGATAAGGAGAAGAAAGTAGCAGTGGTGTATGGTAGATACTGTGACAAGTATGGCTATAAAATGTCTATCGTGGTTGGAGACAATGGATATTTCGAAGAAACAAAACTCGGAGATGTGTTCTCTTATGTTCCAAATTCGGTGCAGATCCAGTAATTAAGGTCAAGTACCTGCAGGAGGCAAAAGTATAGGAGGAGATTATTATTAATATCTTACAGTACCTTGTTTGTTTCTTGCATCATCTCTTTTTATTCATGAAATATTGTTTTGAACAAGACTGGTCTATTAATTTTTCTGCTTAGTTAAGAAAACACAAACATGTTTTGCTGATTTGAAACTAAATTTGATTATTGTTGAATAACTCTTAGGCATGGTAGAAGATACATTATAATTACATCGGAGAAAGAAGTCACAGAATGCCAAAACTTTCTGCATGGACCTATCCAAGAGCCTTGTAGCACAATCTCCCTAGACAAGAAAAGTAATTGTAGCAAAACAAAGTCAAAGTAACTTATTCAAGTGGCTGAAGAAGCAATTGTAGCAAAAACTGTCTTGGCAACAAATTTTATTCCTGATTTGATCATTTTGCTCTTTGATTTATACTTGAGTTTAAAAATCAGATTCTCACTGAGTAGAAAACAACTCTGGTTTTGACTGTATTGAGCATTTTCTGACGAATGTACCAAAACACTTGCACGATTGGATCAATTTCATCACAAAAACTTTGGATTTTGAGATATTTTATATTACAAGATATCTCAAAGCCTAGAGAAGGAACAAACCTACTTTAATGCAGTAACTAAAGTAGACCACACAACAAACCAGTTTCATGTCAAAATGCTAAGTTCATACAATAGTAAAGATCTGAAACAATAGTAAGAACAAGTGACTAATAAAATCAAAACCGTAGTAAACCCCTAATTTTGTTAATTAAACTTCCAAGAAGTTACTAAATCAAAAACCTGCAGGATCGCATGAAATTAGATCGCTATACGTGTTGATCAACCAAGTTATAGTCTCAACAGACACAAAAAAAACTTAGCAGAGACAGAGAGCAAGAGAAGAGCTACTCTGTTCCATGGCAAAGCAGAGGACTCCACAGCACCTGAACGACCAAAGACTAATGTTGTCGCCGTCTTTCAATCCGTTAGCCTCAACGATGTCGTTCCACCCACAAATCAAATTGTAATTCCAGCTTCCTTTTCCTGATTCCTTCTTCATCTCCCATCTCTTCAACATCACACCCCACTTTTCACACCGTTGATCCACGAGAATCGCTCCCACTCCAATCTTCTTATCGTTGTTGATGTCTTTGTCTATGATTCTGGACTCCACAGAGGTCAAGAAATCGTTCCGGATTAAGTTGTTGAAAGGAATTGAGAGACGGTTCTGTGTTGGGTTTACATCAGTCACGAACAGAGTCTTCTCAAAGATCAGTTTAGCGTCTTTGGCTTCTTTCATGTCACTCATCACCTTGGCAAGCCACTCAGGCGTCTCTCTCGCTGTCCCTGGAAAAGGAGTAACCTTTGCTTTCTTGAATCCACCAGTACGCTTCCTCTCTTTTACGGCACGTCTCTTGCGGCTTGTATTCTCCGTTAGGCACAATGACAGAGAACATGGGGAATTAGGGTTTACTGGGTCTTTCGTCTCTGTCTTGTCGGACTCATCCATCTTGTAATCAAAGACTACGAGTGAAGAACAAGATTCAGAACTAGGGTTTGGTAGGGTTTTCGTCTCGGAATCAGCGGGAATGAAACATGAAGAAGATAGCAACTGAATATGGTTTTGTTCTGTCTCAGAATCAGTAGGGAACTGGTTAAGATCGATAAGCGATGAAGAAGTAGAAGTTAAAAACCCATTAAGCTTTTGTTGTCTCTTCACCAAAGACGATCTTGTTTTTCTCGGGAAGAGACAAAAGATTCTCTCCTGTGTCTCTTCTTCTTCTTCGGAGAAAATCTTACGGCGTTGTTGTTCTTCATATAACATCACCGCCGCATCAACCAGTACAAAGAAATTCGACCACATGTTCTTCCCTGAAGCCGTGAGATGATCGTAATCGTGATACATAATACTCATTGTGAATTTGTGATAGAACCGAAAACTCAAGTTTTTCTGAGAGCAAAAACGTGAGGCACAAGGAAATTAGAGAGACAGAGAGAAACTGAGAGAAAATGAGAATGAGAGAGTCTCTATTGCCTTAAATAATACTTACGCTCTCTGCTTAATGCTTACATTAAAAGTTAGGGTTTCCTTTTTTCTTTGAGTTTAGTAGTTTAATTACTGTGATTAGTAACTAATTATAGCTGTTACGTTGTTTGATTTCCTTTTCCTTAATATGGATTAGCTAACCTTATAATTACGATTTAGTCCTTGTGTCGGTTTTTCCTTTTTCCACGAGTGAGAACTGAGAATAAGTGAACTTGCCTTTTTTTCTTCAGGTTTGTTTAGTTAACTACAGTTTGATTTGTTAACTTTTTTTTTTTCCTTTTTAAGAAATAGAAATAAATCTATAAATATAACTTTTATTTTGAAATAATATTTTATGAGATTTTCAATTATTAACTTTAAATTTTATTAATTTTCTAGTTGTATGTAGATATTTTTAATGTTTTATCAATCTTATGCCGAACAATGTTATCCAAACTAAAACTAGCTTAAGGATCTATTTTTCAAGGAGCAGCAATCTATCGTAGTGTAGATTTTTTTTTGTTTCGTGCTCTGTTTTTAGTCTATTTGGTTGTTTTGAAGCTATGTTTCTATTTGTTTGGTTCTTTCTTTAATTTGTTAATTAATAAAGATGAAAGAGAAATTTTTTAAGAAAGTTAAGAAAAACTGATTCTACAGTCTACAATATTATATATTTTTTTGTCAAAATAAGTCTACAATATTACTCCTGTTTTTTTTTCGGTGTTTCAGGAGAATGCACATAGGTTAATAAATTCTGTAAATTTTGTTTATTTCTAAACTAAAACACCATTTTTTATCTAATCAACCAATATAAAAATAATCTGCATAATATAAATCGTCAAAAAAAAAAATTAATATTGCATTGAAAACTGAAAACATCATCTATTCAAAAAAAAAAAAAAGCTTAAAAACATCATCTATTTAAGAATAGAGGGATTATGAAAAGTTGTCATAATTATATCAAAATTTAATCTTCCACATCATTTGAGAAACTACTATTATCTTCAATAATATCAAGGAAATTTACTGCTGTATCAATTTATTTTTATGGTTTACTTCGGCATTTAACTACTTAGATGAATTGTAAAAAAATTAAGTCTATATAATATTATTTGTAGGAAGTTCTAGCTACAAAAATCTTTTAACTATAGTACTCCATTTGTTTTACTTTTGAAATTTCAATGATGTTTGAGGTTTTGACTAACAAATTAAGAAACTAAATAAGTATAACAAAAATCTCTGTAGAATACACAAATGGTCACAAAAGATAAAAAAAAAAAATTAAATTTTTTTTTGTATAAAATGATAAGTACATCATTTAGTTAGAAACAAGATATAGTATTCCTGTCACTGCAAGTCCTTGCTTCTATTAAGCAGCACATACGTGTTTGGTTAACGATTAGTTAATTAGAAAATCGGTTGCCAACAAAAAGGAAAAAGCATTTAATTGTTTTCTATAAGAAAAAAAAGTGCATATAAGATTTCATTACGAAAATAAAAGCATGAAACTGATTATGCGATGATGTTAGCAATGACATAGCACTCAAAATGATGTTAGCAATGACATCGCACATACACAAAAATGTCTGTACTTTCAATATAAAAGGCAAAACAAAAATACAATATAACGTTGTTATTTATTTGTTTTCGTTCATAATTATGTCGAAGTAATTAGCTAAATCCAATTGTTTTTAAGTTATAATTTTTTTTTTTTGGAAAGTTATTAAATTTTTAATCGTTAGAGAGTTAGGCTAATTATATTTGTCTTAGACGTCTTTTAACCAAAATGTAGAAAAATTAGCCATATTTGTTTTTGTAAAACTTAGTTTTTTAAATTAGCCTAACCAGTTATGAACTTAATCACCACAGTTACTAGTAATAATCCTATTATATACTAATTTAACCCCATTCACCAAATTTACCAATAATATTGTTTATCACGATGGCACTTTTGGGTGGCTATTTTTTATCTATCCGATTCTTATTTCCACTCTAAAGAAGTATAGTGTCCAACGTTACCGTCTCCACCACTACCACCATTCTCCCATTTCTCTTATATATTATTAGGTACACTTTTAATAAACAAAGCTTCTTACTCTATTATTCTATATAAGGCGTGAGTTCTCCACAAGCCTTCTCATCAATCAAAATCAAGTAAGCATCACTACTTAGTACTAATTCCAAACCATGGCTTCCAACGTTCAGCTTTCAGAAACAAACAGCCCAAGGAATCAGAAAAACCGTCCGAGAGTAGAGAAGGAGGAAGTGGACTACATGCAGAGAGCTCAGTGGCTAAGAGCTACCTTGCTTGGAGCCAACGATGGTCTGGTCACAGTTGCTTCGCTAATGATGGGTGTTGGTTCTATCAAAGAAGACGTCAAAGCAATGCTTCTTGTTGGTTTTGCCGGCCTTGTAGCGGGTGCTTGTAGTATGGCTATTGGAGAGTTTGTGTCTGTGTGTACCCAAAGGGATATTGAAACTGCGCAGATGAAGAGAGCTATTGAGAATAAGACATCATTATCTGCAATCGACGAACAAGAGGAGGTAATGTAGTGTCTAAACGCTAAACTTTATTTTCACCAAAAAAAAAACTATGTATACTTATTTTCCCATAGATATTTGGCTATTTGCTACTCCAATCTGTCACTATTTTTAATGATCATATTAACAAATTTTCCTTACGAATTATAGCATTGTAGGCTTTTAGATTTTCAGCTCATATATATATATTTTAAAAATATAGACTTCATATTATATGAAATAGTATAAAGTTATTCTTCTCTGTTTTAACATTTTGATTTTTTTTGAGACATGTAAACACCATATATGTATAAATTGGCGTTTTAAACAATCAAGATAATAGTTTCGTATATTTGAGATTTAAGTCGCGTATTTATTGCCAATTGATTTTGTAATAGAAAATTTTACAATACAAAATTATCCTTTTTTATTTTAGATGACATGACATTTTTATATGAATATATATAGTTATAAAATGTATGTTTAATGGTAGGAGGAGAAGAAAGAACGGCTGCCAAATCCAGGGCAAGCAGCAATTGCATCAGCGTTAGCGTTTTCAGTGGGTGCAGCAATGCCGCTTCTGGGGGCTGTATTCATAGAGAATCATAAGGTAAGAATGGTGGTGGTAGCGGTTGTGGCCACCATAGCATTGGTTGTGTTTGGAGTGACTGGTGCGGTCTTGGGAAAGACAAGTGTGGCTAAGTCGAGCGTTAGAGTGGTGATTGGTGGTTGGATGGCTATGGCTCTTACCTTTGGTCTCACGAAGTTCATTGGCTCCGCAGCCATGCAAATCTAGAGGCTCTTTCTGTGGTCCTCCTTGTTTCCATGCATCACAAATTCACAAGTAGTGTTGCATTATGTTTGTATTAATATCTCCCCAACTATATATGTGATGTAGACTATCTAATGCACAACAAACACCAAAAAAAATTAATAAATGGTTTGTCAATCGATTTTTCATTTCCCAAAAACGTGACTAGAACAACTATTTAGAAAAGAGTGTTTTTTCGCTCTATATCTAAATTCGCGATCCTATAAGACTTAAAAAATGGTTTACGCTTCGAAAATTCGTTACAAATACTTCCAAAAAATTGGTCACTAACCTAAGAAAACCAGTGTTCAAGAAAGCGCTAGATGCTAAGCGAGTGGTGACCCAACGCCTAGCACCTAAAACGCCTAATCGGAGCCTAGGCAATTTTAGGCGGTTTAGACGTTTAAATCATAACATATTATAAATATAATATTATACATTAAAAATCATACAAACCTATCTATTAGAAAAATAAAGATCTTAAATCGAAACAGAAATTAGAAAAAAAATTTATTTAAGTCATATCAAAACAATATAGAGCTAAAATATATTTATATTTTAAATTTATGTAATTGAAAATTGAAAAAATACATTAAAACTAAACTTATGCTATTTTAGGCGGTCGAAGCGGTCGTCTAGGCGTCACCTAGACCGCTTTTTAGAACACTGAAGAAAACTATTGGTAAAAGATTTGAATTAATTTTAATTTTTGTTAATGGATATGAAAAGATTTGAATCTTTCAGTTACATTTTTATGGCTTGAAGAAAACTATGCACGACCAAAAACAATTTCGCAAAAAAAAAAAAAACTACAAAACATCAACTCTATAAAATTTTGGGAATGCATCGTATATAGGCTTACAACAAGTTTACTTACTCAAGTAACTTTCGATAGACATAATATAAGGCGCCTTTGTAGTTATTCCACAAACCACTAGCCACGGTCGATAACATATCGATAAATCCTTCGAATACTTTCGGCGATTCCTTAAGAAATTGGTCAACCCATGGCATTCCTTTTTCCCTTACATCACCAATAGTCAATGAGATAGAATCTGACATTCTCACGACTCGTCCTTTCGCCAAATCAAACAAGATCGTAAACACTTCACTGATTACATCAACAACTATCTTACACAATTTGGGAACACAAGACTCGGCTGTATCTCTTACCAGCTTGATCAAGGCATTAATGGCTTCTCCTGGAATCTTGAATGTTTGAACAACAAAAACAAAAGAACAAGCGGCGACATGGAAGATCACATAAGAAATCGAATTAGATAACAAACTTATAGTCGAGAAGATCAAATTTGCTAAAGCAGCTATCATCTTCTCTGATCTTTTTCTTTTTCTTATGGTTTAGAATGAAGAAAAACAATAAAACCGACGTGCACCGCTTATGACTTTTTCCATATCGAAATTCTTGAATAAGTAAAGAATTTTTAGAGGTTCTTAGTGACAACATTTACAATTTTATTAGGGAATTAGACAATTAGTTTAATTTACTTTGATTAGTAAAACTGATTTTGAGGCTTTCAAATAAAGTACTCATTACGCTTGGGCCGGGAAGGCCCATGATGAGTAGGCCCATGATTCTCTCTTACTTTTTCCGTACGCTGACCACCCAGATTAGACCCATACATAGTCTTAATAAACATTCTCTGATTGGTAGGACTAGCTTAATTTCAATGATCTATCTAGCCACTTGCGTAGGAGGGTTTGTGCAAAGTTATCTCTTTTTGTTTGTATCTTGTTCAAATTCCAGAAAAGGGTTGATTCATATATGGCCTTGCATTTAGTTTTTAGAAATAAAGGATTCTTTAAGCAGAGAGCTTCATGAAATTTCACAATTTGAGTAATCTTTCAGATAGTCTTAGTTTCAATCGAATCACTTCACCATATGTTTTTTGTTTTTCTTTGTCAGATCATCTGGAAACGATTGTGTTTTTCCCGAGACAAAAAATTCGCCTTAGGATTGTTTCTGTTTTGCTTTGCTTCTCCTCTGGTGTTGTTTCCTCCTGGAGGCTTCAATAAAGATGGGATTACTTTTGCTGCAAACATCATAACAGCTTTTATGGTCAGCCACTACTGCAGTTATCTAAGCATTGTTGTCTTCGGATGTGCAACCGGAGTTTTCGCCTTCAGAACTCCCGGTAACCTCATGGAGATCCACCGGCTATTGGGAGTCATGTGCTACTTTCTGATGGTGGGGTTTGCCCTTCTGGTAGGAGCACTGGTGGCTCGGTTGTGGTGACTGATTCTTGGCTCTATAAACTCATTTGTCCATTTGTGCTTCAACTTATATGTTATTGACATGAAACATATCTGATTGTTATGTTCTTCGGTTGCTGTTGTATTTTAATTTGTTATAATTATACTACTAACCCATGAAAAGGAAAAAAAAAAAATTACAAGGCCGTCCCAACATGAACATGAGCATGCTACAAGTACAGCTTATCAAATCAAGAAAAAGTACTAATAAAAAGTAACAATTAGATGGGTACCTAATACTACGACAAAAGAAGTCACCTTGCTATAATGAAGGATGTTCTGTTGCTAACCCACTTTAGTGAAAACAAATTCAATCCATTGCTAATATGTTATATATGTTGTACAAGAGTTTCTTATTTTTTTAAAAAATTGTGGGTAGATCGATTCGATCTCTGGAGTATAAATATGAATCCGTTGGCGATTGAAAAAGGTAGCATTGATTCAAGCTATATCCATATGGTATGAGTTCTGCTTCCGGATATTTATATAAGAAAAGAAAATCAATAAACATACAACATAGAAAATAAGTGTTATTGTGGATCTTGATCTTATCCCACTCTATTACAACTACTAGAGCATCATTTATTGATGATTTGGGATATTCTACTATTCAAGAATCTCAAATCAAAACAACTTGTAGATGGGCTTCATATCAGTATAGTACAATCCAAAATTTTGTTCGGTTCCGGCTGGCTTCTGATTTTCATTGAACGTAGCAAATAAAAATCCATTTATGCTATTGTTTGGCCTCTTCGGTGTCCCTTTACCGCTTTCTACATGTTTGACAAAATTGCCATTGTACATGGACGCGATCTCAGGAGTTGTTAAGTTCTTGTTTCCGGCAGACGGCCATCCGGTCTCTGTTACCACCATCGGTAAATCTTTTACGCCCTCTTTCTCCATTGCCCATACGAACGCATCAAATATCACATCAAACATATTTGAATAACCAAGTGGACCGTCTTGGACCACAACCGCATCGGTGTTGAAGATGGCACAATCAAGATGAATGTTGATAGGATCAGCAGCATAAGCGAAGTAGGGGTAAATGTTGACGAGGATAGGTGTATTTGTTTGAGCCAAAAACTTCAGTACCGGGGTAAGTTGTTCTCGTGCTTGTGGCGTGAAATCTCCAGCGGAAGGTGGATACGACTGGCCAAGGTTGGGAGACTCCTCGACTTGACAACGTTGGTGAGATATTGCATGACGGGTAGCACGTAAGAGCCGATTTCTCCGGGGATGATTTCATTCCCAACAGTAATGAATGTGATGTTGACGTCAGCTAAGTAAGGCTCAATGTTGGTCACGAACCATGTGTTAACAGCGTCTTCGCTGACCGAAAGAGCCTCCAAGTCTTGGTTCTTCATACCTACCATAACTCCAATATCACGGTTCCCTCGGAAGGCGTTAAGGACATCCGTATTCGTGTCAAAGATCCGAATATTGGTTATACTTAAAGACTTGTAGAGGTTGATAACTTCAGATGGAGGTGGAAGGTTGTCCCCAAGGAGGCCGTAGTTCAAGCCAACGTTTGTTGCTGCGTCTACAAAGCCACCATTGTTGTAGTTTAATAGAAATGCCATGCACGAGAGCATCACCAACAATGATTTTTTAGGACAATCCATAATGAAACCTGTATCTATTTAATTATCTGAATAACCAACAGACACAGGAAACCAAAACAAAGTTGTTTCTCTTTTATTTGCTGTGTTGCAAAACATAGGTTGTAGGTACATGCAACCTACAATAGTTGGTGACAGGATCCGCAGCATATTACAATGATTTGTGTTTCCATTGTTGTAGTTGAATTTAGAAGAGTTTATATTTCCTAAAACAGAAGCTAAGAATCTGCAGAATTTAATAAGAAATATACGATTGATTGATTTGGTAAACTGATCAATATTGGTTTAGAAATTTATCGGTTAACCCATGGGAAGCTTACGTTACCGATTCCTTTGATTTTAACATAAAATAAATCGGTTTGGGGACGATACGTCTCCGAGAGAGAGAATAATATGTCTGACCTTACCTAAAGTGGAGACGGGAAACTTGGTGAGCAAGTCTATTTCCTCTGTATTAATAATGAAGCGTCTAAAAGGTGATCATCACAACGATTCTTCAATTAGGGTTTTTTTCCCCTAAATCTCTTGCTTTTCGATAAGATCGATCATTATTCATCATCATGTCTCTGCTTCTCAACGAGCCTTCGATGTTGTGCCTAGGCAAACCTGCGTCGATGAGGTCATCTCTTTTTCTCTCTAGTGGCTTCCCATCTTCCTCACTGCGAACCCTTCCATGTTCCATCGACGGTTGTGGACTGAAGGTTAGTAATGTTCCTAAATCTCGCCACACTTTTTTGGAAAAGAAGGTGCCTGTGGGTAGACATAAAATAGATTGGCTGGCATACCTTGGCTGGTTAGCTACTTTCAATCACGACGGAATTTTGCGTTTCATTGATTCTATGTGGGATTCAGGAGAACCGAAACACTTTTCGTCACCTCCTTTTGTAACTTTACCACGTTGCCAAACTCAAATTGTCACCAACGTGGTAGCATCTTCTCCTCTTGACGACAAGGACTGTGTTGTGGCTGTCAAGTTTTTGGGACCTCAACTCAGCTTTTTCAGACCTGCTCAAAGTAAATTTGGGTGGACCAACGTTAGAATCGAAAACCCTTGCTTCTACTCCTCCGAAGTCATGTTTTCCAAGAAAGATGGCATGTTTCGTATTCCTGGATCTGGAGGCCACATTATCGGATCATGGGATATCCACACACACAAGCAAACACCACCGAAGATTCAGAGGTTGCAGCTCCAAAACCTTCCCGAGCGGACCAGGACCCAACCCGAGCTTCTGGAATCTTGCTGGGCGAGCGTATTCTTGGTGGAGTCACAATCAACCGATGAAACTTTCTTGGTTAAGTGGTACAAGAAGACCTCTGGAAAGATCATGAAAACAAAAGGTGTAATGGTGTTCAGGCTAGACCATAAAGGAAACGCTATTTACACTCAAGACATTGGAGATCTCTTCATTTCCCTCTCACGAGATGGTATTTCTTGTGAACCTGCAGCTGAAGAACCCTACCACTACTATAAGCCTAACCACGTCCATGTCGGTGATGACGACGGGTTCTTCACTATCAATCTGGCAAGTGGCGGATTAGAAGTTCACAGAGAATTCTAATTGAATAGAATCTCTTTGACATTGTTATGCATATGATGTGGGATAATCTTTGCTATCATCTCTCTTCCAATTATTTATGTTTAAACAATATCCAATAAGTTTATGAATCATTGTTGTCAGTTGTCACCATTAAAAAGTTGTGTAGCACAGAAAAGTAGAAAACTAAGAGAGAACCGTGTTTCGTAAACTAAGATTAGAAAGTTGTGGAACTATAAAGTTGTTTGACAATAATAATACAGTCTATAGGCTTGCTTCGTAAACTGCAAAGTTGGAAATTTTAGTGGTATTGTCGTTTTAAGAGAGCACCATCAAAAAACATGACACGAATTAGAAAAGATTCTTGCTCATACCACATAATCAAATCAGAACTAAGGATGGAGACTCATTCTTCCCCGTTTTGATAAATAAATTCCTATAGAGACGAAACAATGGCTAGAAAGCCATTTTCTCGGAAAAAAAAACGCCGGAATGCCACTGCCATATTTGTAATTTTATTTACAACTAGATTATGTACCCGCATGTTGCGCGGGATTTTAGTTTTAATTTTTTATCAATGCGAATCTTTTAATATAAATCTTACAAATTAAATTTTAATTTTTTTTACTTTATTCATATGCATTATCTTTCCAAAGTAGTAAAAACATTCTCTCACTTTTCACTACAATTTTTCTCGTTATCTTCTATGATTCACTCATCGTCTCCCGATATCGACTCTTTTTCACCTTATATTGACTCACATAGAATATACTCAATTGTGAATTAGTTCTGAAGATAGATTGTATAGTTTTTCTCCTTCCTATCTTTGAATACTCAATTCTATTTTAAACGTTGCATGATCTTTTTACTAAAGTAAATAAGGTTTCTTTAGCCATGTTTTGGTGCATGTAAAATTGTTTTCTAAACAACAAATTTCATATATAAACTCATTCTTATATATTCACAAACATCGGATTTTAACATCAATTTTTTTCACTTTATCTTGATTGTTTGAAAAATACAAAATTCTCTGTTCTAAATATGTAAATTAAGAAATCATAAAAATTATTCTAATTTTTAAATACGTTTATTTTTTATAACAAAATCATTCTTATTTCTAATTAATAAATAGCATTCTCAAATATTATTATTATAAAGTTTTATTATTCGATTAAATTATTTTATTTTTATTTGTGCTGTTTAGGATAGTTTTTTGTTTTGTTTCAAATCACCTTCATTTTTTTCAATCTATGTTAATTTTCTAAACACACATTCATAGTTAGTTTTTTCTTTCTTAGGTATTCTTTTTTTATATAAATAAATGTCCACTTTTTAATTGAGAAAACTTTAATAATATAGACAAATTTATTAATTTAACTATTTATATTATATTATAATTATAAATGATAATATGTATACATTCCTTCTTATTTTTTAGGGAAATTGTTAAAAATGCTCCTTTTGGTGTGCCCCTTTTCAAAAATGCCCCTTTTAGATGTCCATTTTCAAAAATGCCCCTTTTTAAATCTGAAATTTTTATAAAGATTTATTAGGTTTATAAGGTACTTATGGATTGTAACTACTACTTGAAGACTCGATCCAAGTATTTATAAGGTTTTATAAGGTGTTTTTAAAGGTTTTAAAAGTTATTTTAAAGGATTTTTAAGGTTTTTCAAAGGTTTTACAAGATATTTTAAAGGTTTTTAAAGGTATTTAAAATGCATTTATAAGGTATTTATAAAGTATTTATAAGATTTTAGATACATAGAAATGCAGTTTGTGTATGTTTTAATAATGTTACATACATATTTGGGTAAATCTTATATTTAAGAGCATTTTTTATAAGGTTTTAAAGAAGGGGCATTTTTGAAAAGTGGCATTTAAAAAGGGGTATTTTTGCAAAAGCCCCTATTTTTTAATTGGTATCATGAATTGATACTTTAAACTTAACAAATATATTTTCAAATTCTAAATGTGTATTTTTTTAAAATGAAGTACTTTTTTAGTTAGGACCTTTAAATTTGGTATTTTTTTTAACTCTTATTTTTTTAATTCAACTAAATAATTATAACTCTTAAAAGTGATTGTTGTATAGTCCTGGACGTTTGGTTATCCAATCGGTTTCGGTTCGGTTCCATTCGTTTCCGGTTATTTTGGTTCTAGAGTTTAGTATCTATTCAGGTATTTTGAAATTTTTGTTCGATTTTGGTTCGGTTCCGGTTCTTTCAGTTTTAAAATTTAGTATCCATTCGGGTATTTTGCTTCGGATATTTTTGGATATTTCAGTTATTTTGGAATATTTTTGGATACTTTTCGGTTATTATCTAGTATTTTTATATAGTTTTGAGGTATTTTTGATTATTCAGTCTATAAAAAACTAATATTTTTAAATATATAATTGTATTTCGGGTATTTTTGGGTATCTAAAATATTTTGGATTGGTACCGATTCGGTTCTGGTTCTTACGGTTATAGAATTTAGTATCCATTCGATTATTTTCAAATTTTCGGTTTGGTTTGGTTCTTTTTGCTCCGTTTCCGTTTCGTTACATTCGGTTTAGTTAATTTGTCCAGGCCTTGTTACATTAAAATATATCATAAGTTTATTTTTCCTAACTCTAACCATTTAAAAATATTTACTCATTATATGTTAAGACATGATTATCTAACTTTATATTTCTCTAATCTCAATTCAAAAGTTTTATATTTTGTGTTGTATATTTATTTTTTCGTTTTCATATTTAATTAATTTTTTGTAAATTATTGATTTTTAATGAAAAGTAATAATTTAAAATGTGTGAATTAATTTAGTTTTTGTTTTAATAAATAAAATATGTGGAGCCCACAAAAATAATAAAATGTGATGACATGGATGCTGATGTGGACACCTTAGATGGAGAGACAACTCTCCCATTATATATATAGATTTTTTTAAAAATCAAAAGTGGTAGAAATGTCCAAAAACCTATAAGAAAATTGGAAACTACAGTTCCAATCAAAACAATCCGACCCAAATCCAATAAAACGGATTACCCGATCCAATCTAAGGGTGAATAACACTAAATCCCTAATTATAAAAGAAAAACTTAGAAAAAATTTCTCGAAATTGATTTTTTGGTAGCATACGTTGGAGAAATCGAAATCGAAACGGTGATGATGAAGATGAAGCGACTGTGTCATCGAACTCAGAAGCACAGAGCTACAACGAATCACCACACTCTCCTCTTCGATTTTATTCTCCGTTGTTTTCTAAAGTGACAAACTTTTTATAATTAACGATACTGAATCTAAATCAGTAAGAGCCCAACAATGGCGATGTTGGGGAATTTTCTTCATCTCTCTCCAATGGTGTTCGCCATTTCGACTTCGAAACCATCCCTTCCAAACCAGAGCGAGCGTACCAAAGCCACACCATCGTCTTCTCCGATTAAGTCGTTAAAGAGTTGTAAAACCATTGACGAATTCAGAATGTTTCATCGTT